AGAATTTCTTTTCCCCTAAAATTCCAGCGAGTGTTTTCTCCTAACCCATCTATACTAAAATGTGCATAACGCTTTCTATATGTATCCAAAATTTATGAAATGTTATATAGAGCTAGTACACACATAGACAAATAACTTTTATTCTTTGCGTTTTTCTCAAAAATCAATCTAACAGCATCAAATAAATCTCACAAGATTCAGGCGATTCTTCTCCCAAAATTCCAGCAGAATGCATTTCGAAACAACCCTCACTATAATTGGTATAACTCTTAATGTATAGGTCCAAATATTATAAAAGTTTATACAGGCCTATTAAACATATAGGTGAACAACTTTTATTCTTTAAGGTTGACTTACTCTAAAGGCCTCAAATAATTCACAAAAAACTCGGGCGTAATATGATCCTTAAAACACTCGATTTTGCATATTTAATTTCTTTAATAATTAAACCATTAATCTTAAGCACAATAAATTTAATTTAACATAAATCACATATTTCAAGAATTAATTTCTCATGATGAAATGATAATTACACTTACTCTTAATATACATACATATATATATAATTATTCTAATACACGTCGCGTTATGAATAAGGGTTTTTACGGGGGTTACATATATAGTCAATATATATTCTTGATCATGCTACGATTTGGGATATTTAATGATATCATTTATGTGCATTAGTGTTTGTCTCACATCTTTCAATCAATCATAATGCAAATGCATATCATAAGGACTTCTATCTAATTCTATGAATTCATACACATAAAACGTAAGAATTAATAGAAAGACTTCTTTATTATTATTAAAACAAATGATGCAATAATACAATAACTCAAGCTTATCCAAACGTGGTTGAATCTTGGACACCTACACTAACGAGTGGTATCTTTTTCTTGAAAAAGGATGTCTTTGGGTGATTGATAACTTCCCAAAGGCATAACTAACTCTTTACCCTAAAATCTTTGAACCGAGTACCATTTTTAGGTTTTTTAATTCCTTTAATACTTGGTGGCGACTCCAAAACATGGTTTAACTCATTTTTTTTTTAGTAAATAAACCAAATAAAAAAATTTTTAATTTAAATTTTTTTGAAGTATCTAAATGTTGAGTAGCGGCATGTCGACTTCATTAGAGATTTAGAGTTAGGTCATAGGTTTAGTCCTTTTAAATTTATCTCCTTTATTTATTTTTGTCATTTATTTTTTAAGTCACTTAGTTTTTAGGTCATTTATTTTTGTCATTTAATTAATTCTAAGTTTTTTATTTTATGTAGTTTAATTCTCATATTTTAATTTTTTAATAATATCAAGTTAATTAATTCATGTTACTTATTTTTTTCATACTTAAATTTTTTTTTATGTTTTGTGAACTGAATTGGATATATTTGCTTTGAAACACATACCACAAGAAAAGCTTACGAAGTTTTGGACTTGAGCTAAAATCTTTTTGGATTTGGATAAAGAGATTCGGAGACAAGTATGATGAACGTCTACCGACGCTTATTCGAACTCTCATTTGGACTAAAACTCACTCTAGGCATACCTTACTAGTGTATAAGGTTAGAGGTTGAGTTACCTTACTAGTAATTTAAACAATCCGAAACTTGAAAGGACTTTAGAATTAGACAAGTCTCGCCTAAACCCTAGACAAGCTAGATCTTTTCCATTAAGATTGTCCATTTAAGATGAACTATTTGTAAATGATGTCAATTCTAAAATTTGTTTCTATAGGTTATCATCTAAACAAATCATGATAGAGAATGACATTAAGAATTTTAAGACCAAATCGGAGCGAACCTAATTTGAGGAGGGAGATTATTTACCCTTAGATTAAAAATAAAAGATGGGACTTCTAAGTAATGAGTACACCACTAAAGAGGAGTTCATGCAAAATTCAAAAACCTTACAACCATTGTTGCCTCATCTCCTAGTCTTGAGCTTTGAAGAGTAGAATAAAATTTTTTTATGTAATAAAAAAATATCATGAGCATTATAATATAATCTAAATGGTTATGACTTTTATTTTCTAATGTTTATTATAATAGAAATTAGACAATTATATTGTATTTGTCCTTTAATGAAAAGGGCTCTAAGTCACATGTAGAATGTGATAAAAGTTAAAATCTTAAATTCTTCCATGTATGTTGTTACAAGATGCGTTCATCACTCGAGGTTTCAATAAAAAAGGGAAAAAAAGAGAAAAAATCCTTTCAAAAAAAAATTGATCTAGGGTAGGCATGTTTCTTGAATAATGATTTGGTACCTTCAAAAGATACTAAAAGCAAAAAAATTCTGATATGGTTTGTCTTTATTACAAACTTTATCATAATTTGAAGTCCATAATAGTAAAATAATGTATCCAACCCGATTCGGATTATTGTATGGATACATTTTTGTTTATATATATTCATAGTATAAATTGCTTTATGAGAATAAACAAGTCTAAAGAAAAATAGGTTACACTTAATGAAAGCTTAACTCACCCCAACACAAACAACTTGATCAAGATGAGAAACCAAAATGAAATCTAAGAGAAGCAAAATATCCAAAAGAAGTGATTACTTTGATAAATGAAGTGTCGTGCTTAACTAATTTGCTTGAGAAGACTCTCTATTCCAAACTACTTGGAAGGTGAAGCTTTAGGGGTAAAGAATCCATTCTTTTCTCCTACAATGCTAGTCTTTTTGCTAGGTTCTCTATATCTTTATACTTCTTTCATGATGGTGACTCATCTCAAAGGACCTCTTCTAATTGATTTATCATCCATGTGGCACCACTCATTATAAAAAATTCTCCACTCTTATATGATTCATCTCAACATACGGCTTTTCCTCTAAATCATTTGGCACAAACACAAATCTATATGGACTCGCTCTAAGATAATGAAAAAGCCAAGAAAGGAAAGGAGGTTAAGGTATATAGTTCGACTTAGTTTGTTGATAATAGAAAGAAGCTAAAAAAAAAAAAAAAAATAGGCACACCTCAAACGTTCGACAACTAATTTTAAGAGGAGACCATTTTGAAATAACTAATTGAGGAGGGCGGGGGAGGGGGAAGAGTAATGAAAAACCTTTTATGATTTTGGATTACCTTCGTAGTATGAGAAATGGAAGTAGTGAATCCATATAGAGATATTCTAAGAGATAACAAGCACTAGCTTTTCCGATGGGTCCACCATTGACTCGGTCGAACGGTTGACATCCTTATCGAACTTTAGGATCCCCATACTATGAATATCTAAGCGATAACTTTTCATTTTAGTTTAGTAATCTCATGAATATGGCAAAGAAAATAAAGCATGACATAATAATCCAAGGCTTTATAAGACACTCATAGTAAGAGAGGATTTTATTATGATGTTTCCAAGATGAACCCTAATCTTCATGTTAATTATTTGAAAGGTCATGAACAAACCTCTAAAAATAAGGAGAACTTTTTTCTCAATTATCCATGCCTCTAACGTAAAATCAAACGAGTCTTCAACAACCCACAAATACCACACAACCTTTACATGAAAATAACCGAGATGACAAAAAGGACTCTAAACAACTACCACTCCTACCTTTCTCATTTGGTGAAATATTTGAGTGCTTGGTAAGTATTTGATAGATCACTCTAATCTCTAATAACTTGATGCACCCTTCTTATCTTCTATGGTACAAATAAGATGAAAGATGTGAATATCATTCGTGTGCTACTAGGCATAACATCAATGAATGTCCCGCTTTTAGAAAGAAACTATTGGATTTGATCAAGTAAAGTTAAATCAATTTTGATGATGGTCTATACGCTCCTAATGTGAGCATTAATCTACTGCCAAACCATAGAGTTGTCACACACAAAAGATATAGAGACTCGGTAAGCTTGAAAGTTATAGTGAAGATGCATGCTCATGGTTTACAAACACTATCTTTGAATTTGTTTCGATGAATGTCCTCATAGCTTGAAAGTTATGAATGTCCTTATCTTCTTTCTCTCTCTGTCTTGGCAAAAACTCTCCCTTTTTTCATTTTCTTCTTGTTGTTTGCACGCACGAGATCAAAAGACCTTTTTAAATGTCACATTCGTGATTTAAAAGACTTAAAGCTTTTGCCTTTCTTTTTTTAATGCATGAGATTTGGGCCTAAAAGAGGAGGGATCCAAACTCAATATGTAATAATGTGTTTATCATCGAATTAGCATTTTGTCAATATGTATGGTTTTGGTGACAATGATGTACTCATGGTTGTGATTGAATAACGAGAGATGGATTTTGGGTTTGACAAATATATATATAGAGAGAGAGAGATAATCACTCAACACATTATGTTTTGAATTGTGTTTCACCTCAAATCTATACCGGAAGAACCAATTGGCTTATTTGAGAAGTTATCCGTCCATGTGACATAATTTTTTGTTAGAACTATAACACCTTATGAAAAGGAATAGTCCATTTCAATCAGAAATTCATTAATGATACAATAGAACTCAAAATTTTTAATCCATCATCTGACAACTAGAACTTTCTCTAAGTATACAGTGATAATAACGCTCCGACTTCTTGAATGCATTTTTTTTAATAAACATGAAATCTCTAATTGCCCTTTTTGTCTTCTAAGAACTCTGCTGTCTAATAATTGTCACTCACATCATTCTGTAAAACTCTTCTTCTTTTATTAGGAATTTGGAGAGGTGGCAACATATGTGACCTTAAGCATTGAGAAAGGAGAACCGGAAACGTTAGATTCAATCCAGAATAAAATAAGTAAAAATGTCAATTTGACAAAACGCAAAAACCTTAGTTACTTTCCGTTAGATGAACAATTAACGGCATAACAGACCGTCCCACACGAGGAAACACATCAAATCTTACTACACGTGACACGCATGCAATCGTAATCCCTTTGTCTCTCTCAAATCATCGTCATCGGATCATCAATATTCTCTTTACTTCTCTCGCTTAAAGCTCATCCTGTTATCTCTCGCTACAAGTACTAACCATACGGTGTCGTTCTCATGGCTTTTGCTCATTACTTGGTCGCCGTCCCAGCTGAACCCTCAAATCTCACAAAAGCTGCGCTCTTTAACACCAACCTTCCTCCTCGTCCTCCTCGTAAAAAAAATTACTCTGATTTAGCCTTCTTTTCTCCTTCTCTTAAAACTAAAGCACGCAAGCTCTCCGTATTTCCCAAATTCCATCGAATTGGACGCAAAGGTAATTTCATAATTTCGTTCATTTATTTATTAGTTAGTGCTAATTATAGTGATTTATAGATTTTTTTTTTTTTTTTTTTTTGTGTGTGTTTAGTTAATTAATTAATTATTGTGTTTGGATTTGTATTTTAGCTAAGGCGAAGGCGCAAGAATCAGAAGTGAGTTTGGCAGCTGAATCTTTTACTAATTTCAAGCATTTGTTATTGCCAATTACTGATAAGAATCCGTATCTGTCCGAGGGAACTAGACAGGTGATCTTTTCTTCCCTTTCAGTTACCTAAATTTTTTTAGCAGGTTTTGTTTAAACAAAAGGAAATTATTTTTGCATTCTAGACTATTTGGTTCTGTATTTTAAAAATCGGAGAGTCTTAGATCGGATGTCTTATGAATTTTATTAGTATTTGTTAGCAAGCATAGAATCTGTGGTTATAGCATTAAAAAAAAAAAAATTGATGGGAAATTCTGCAATAATTTTACATTAACACCCGTTAGTATGGATGAGTAATGCTAATTTTACAGAAATATTCTCCTCGAAAGAACTTCGTCTCTGCAAAAGGAAGTGATATTGGGCAAGATCTTCAGTAAAGTTAGGATAATTCTACTTTGGAATCGTAAGTAAAATTAGAAAGACAGAAAAGAAAAAACCAAAGTAAGAAAGCTGAATTTTTAGTGGGAAGTGATTTAACTAGACATGTAGTTCTTGTGTACTTATTTGCCTGAGCTTGATTTTTCCTTTTATGCAAGTAAAAGTTAACTGCAGCAAGCAGTTGGTTCAAGGTCTTGTTTGTGTTCTAATTACTTGTCTGGTAGGCTGCTGCAACTGCTGCGGCATTGGCAAAGAAATATGGGGCTGACATAACAGTTGTAGGTAAGCATACTGGCATTTATCCTTTGCTATTTTATTTATAGAAGTTCTGGAAACTAAGTAGAAGAGATGCTTTCTCTCTATCTGTTTTTTCGGCTACAGATTATTTTTAATGCAAGATTTCATGGAATGTAGAAGTTTACATTCTTTGCAGTTATTGATGAGAGGCAGAAAGAATCGTTGCCTGAGCATGAAACCCAAATGTCTAGCATTCGCTGGCATCTAGCTGAAGGTTTGTATTTGATTTCGTGATTTTTAGAAAGAAAGCAAGACTTTTCTTGCTATTTGCAATCCAAAGTGCACACTTTATGCTGACAATAATTAAACTGATGGTAATATAATTTGTCACAATAGACAGTTAAGTTATTCGGTTGGATTGATGCATGGTAAGCTTGTTTTAGACAAATCAGAACATCCTGAAACAAAAAAAGGAAAAAAGAAAAAGGAAGAAGTCATGAATGCATAAACCAATTGTAAAGCAGGTTTCGGGACAAGAAATTGCAGATTTATGTGCATATTCGACTTAAAGAGATATTTCTTATTTCAACTGGAAAAGAGAAGTAGCGGGATTCTAATGTTATCTTCTTCTTCCTGTAGCTTGTGCTTATCTTTTACTAAGAAACATCATCATCTAGTCTTGTGCTGATCTGGAATTGCACTTCTATGTATAATTAACTAATGCACGTACACGTTTGTTTTTCAAAATGATAGGTGGGTTCCAGGAATTCAAGTTGTTGGAGCGACTTGGGGAAAGAAACAAGCCCACTGCAATAATTGGTGAGGTTGCTGATGACCTAAACTTGGATTTGGTAGTTGTGAGCATGGATGCAATCCATTCCAAGCACGTGGATGCAAACCTGCTTGCTGAGTTCATCCCCTGCCCTGTCTTACTTTTGCCTTTATAAGTTGTTTCAAGAGACAGCAGTAACCGAAGTGCATTGCAAATGCAAGTTTTCTACCGGCGGGCTTTTGGTTAGATTCAGCCTGTTTAGTTTTTTGTTCGTTGAGTATGTTGTTAATAGGCTTGCGGGCAAAGCAAGAAGGAGGCAAGCCTTAAACATTCTGTGAACTGTTAAGTCCGCTAGTGCAGGTGAATCATAGTCAACTGCCGAAGCCGCATGTTGATAGTGCTTGGTACTTCGAATTTGTTTCTTTCATTTAGATTTAAGCTTTAGTTAATCCTATGTTACATGCTTCCATTTAATTAAGGCCTGAATCTGCCCACTAAACTAAAACTCTTCGAATTTGTTCGATAGCTCAGAATGGCGCAAACCCTATAGCTTTACCCAAATAGTTTGGGATTGAGGCGTGGCTGTTGTTGTATAGTCTATGCTAGCTGCTTCCTTATGGAGGGGGTGCAATTTTGCGATTTTTACTTTCCCTTTTGGGACTGTACATGTGAATGCAATTGAGTTAGTGAAGCGAACGAGTAAGCTAATGGTAGGAAATAGTTGCGTTCAGGGGGCGTAATTGCATCTTACTGGCACTGCTAGGTCTCCCCTTGTTTGTTTCCCGAAGGTCTGGGTTGCTAACCAGAGTGTCATCAAAATAGACCGGAATGCAAAAAAATCGAATAAAAGAATAGTGAAGTGGGAATCATGGTAGCATACATATCTAGAGCACAAGTGCACAACTAGGACTCAGAATCACTCGTGCACACAACATAGGCGACAAATTTGACGTGCACACGAGGTTTGAACTGTACATAAAATCCGAGTTGTGAACTCTGATGTAGAATCAAGAATGAACTTCGCTTGGTAGGCTTTAGGCAGACTAAAGAAGCCAACACATTTTGGTTGAGTCCCATGGTTGAAAGAATTGCTGCCGAAAGACCCAAAGTTTAACCCCTTAAACGAGAGGGCGGCTGCCGATGGACCCCAAAGCTCGGATCGTTTCCAAAGTTTTAACGGCTCCTGCCCTCAGAATGTATTGGTGATACACTGCAGCCGCCAGGGCTCCAAGAAAAGGCCCAACCCAGAAGATCCACTGTTCATGTAATGATTATAGGGATTAAACAACCGTCTTAAATAAGCTATTTGAATGATTCAAACAAGGTTGTGTGACATATTATTTTTACATTTGACGAAACTACAAAATTGCAACTTGTATTAATGAAGTCAAAGAGGGACGCACCAGATCATTCACGGCTTCGGTAGTGCTACGGTAAATCAAAGCAGTACCAAGGCTTCTAGCAGGATTGATTCCAGTTCCAGTGATGGGAATTAGAGCCAAATGCACCACAAACACAGCAAAACCAATTGGCAAGGGAGCCAAAACCTGAACAGCGCATAAAATGAAAAGTTCAACGCTCTTGCTTAACGCAATCGAATCATCATTGGTTAGACTAGCTAGCTAGTTACTATACTTACAGGTATGTGGGAGTCACGAGCGTTCCGTTTAGGATCGGTGGCGGAGAAGACAGTATATACAAGGACAAAAGTGCCAATGATCTCAGCACCTAATCCAGCACCCTTAGAGTAATTACGCGAAACTACGTTAACAACACCATCAGAATTCTGCTGATCATCAGAATTCGTGAAGAAAATCACAAACATTACGCCAATTGTAGCTCCAATGCATTGTGCCACCATGTAAGCCACTGCTCTTATCAGCGAAACCTTCCTTGCTAGGAGCAGCCCGAATGTTACCGCAGGGTTAAGATGGCCACCTGTGGTTCAAATAAAAGATAAAAAGTTAAATTTGCTGAAACATGAAATATTAGGGAGGGAAAGAGAGGTGTGAGTATAGTACCAGAAATTCCAGAAGTGCAGTAGACAAGCACAAAAATCATGCCACCAAAGGCCCAAGCAATACCAAGATAGCCAACACGACTACATTGGTCAGTATAATTAGGCTCCTTGTAATTAACAATGGTGGAAACAGAGAAAAAAGGAAGAGAAAGGTTGCTACAAACTCTGCAATTGAGGCTCTGTAGAATGACCACTTCCTCAGCTCTCTCAAGTCCAAAAGAGGAGCTGGTGGTGGGTCTTTGTAATTCCTTTCATGTTGGTGCTCCATGTTTCTCTCTTCACTCATCTCTATGGGTACGTATTTTTTTCCCCTACGCTAAACTATGTTGCTTCTCCCTTTTCCTTTGTGTAACTTGAATTTCTTGCAAGAGAGCGATGGGGAATGGAGAATTTATAGACGAGAGCCACGGTTGGTTTGTGGTGAGTTTGAATTAGTCCCGGGTATCAATGAATTTGAGGAGACCCGTAGGGACCGTTATTTATTTATTTATTTATATACGGCGACGCACCATATGATTGTAGTCAAACATTGAATGCTTTCGACATCGTCCACACGCGGATTCTATGTCTATCTTATTAGCATGTCAGAATTTTCTTTGGTTTTGAATTAAGACTTCGTCATGTGCCGAGTATGAAGATCCAGTTGTATGTATATATATCCCATTGGATTGAGGTGGGTGGATTTCAACGCACATATTGAATATCCAACCTTCTAATTAAAGATATCCATATTCGACCTATATCCCATTGGATTGAGGTGGGTGGATTTCAACCTGTATATTGGATATCCAACCTTATCCATATATATATATATATAAGAAATGTGCTTTTTTTTCAAAAAAAAAAAAAAAAAATTATGTATCATAAAAAAAAATCACATACTAATAAGTTATAAGAGCAAAGAATTTTACGTACCTAATAATCTTATTTTACTTTTTAATATCTATTAAATATCTACTAATTCAAAATATTTATATAAAAAAAACATTTTGACAAAAATAGAGGGAAAAAAATCAAATATAACGTTTTAATTTGTTTTAAAAAGTTGTATTTGAAGAAAAAATAAAATAAATTGAGGAGTAAATGTTTTTGGGCATAAATTTGGAGGGAAATTGGACTGTATTTTCTTCTCAACGGATAGTATATGAGATTGGTATGAATGGGTGTATACCCACGCGCATATATATATATATATATATATATATGCATCCGTAGCTATAGGCAGGCTATAGTCATGGTTAATGTAACAAATTCCAATAAAAATGGACTTGTACGTACGTAGTAAGATATATATATATATATTGAAGCAGCAAGCACGGATTAATATATGTGGACTCATGCACAAAAGTTACGGACTTGGTCCACATAATGTACAAATTTAACATACATATGCACACGACAAGTTTTCTCCATATCAGAAAAGGCGCTTTGAGTCTGGGCTAGAATATTACTAATTAGGTAACAACAGAGAATGGCGTGCACTTCGCTTGGTAGGCTTGATCGACGAAGAGTACTAAGGAACCCGATGGATGAACATCGAGTTGGCTTAGTTGGTAGGATTGCTGCGGATTGATCCCAAAGCTTTGATGGCCCCAGATCTGAGTATGTATTTATGATACACTGCTGCTGCAAGTGCTCCAACAAATGGCCCAACCCAGAAAATCCACTGTTCACCAATAAGATCGTAATCAAGCTGTTAGTCCAGCATTTTTTAAATGTTATGCTACTTTTAGCATCTTGGCAACTACTCAGAAAAACAAACAGTAGAATCATCAAGGAAAGATTGTATGAGATGCTATCTTGACAAAAATTGTAATGCATGCACGATTGCATGCGAGGAAATTAGGTGATTATTTTATTATAAATGGTAACAAATTAAATGAAAGAGGGACTTACATGATCATCCCAGGTTTCCTTAGTATTTTTAACCACAGCAGCACCAAGGCTCCTAGCAGGATTGATCCCCGTGCCAGTGATGGGAATTAGAGCCAAATGCACCACAAAAACGGCAAAACCAATAGGCAATGGAGCCAAAACCTGAACCAAGCAAATTAATATAAACCATAACATCGAGAATCTCATCTTCTAAATGTGTTATTAGCTGGGGTTGCAAATCTTTGTACTTACAGGTACGTGGGAGTCGCGTGCCATGCGTTTAGGATCAGTTGCGGCGAAGACGATGTAAACCAGTACGAAAGTGCCAACGATCTCGGCACCTAAGGCAGTACCCTTTGAGTAACCAGGTTGAACTAAGTTGACGGCACCATCGGCCTGATGGTAGTGGGAGTGAGTGAGGCTCATCACTATCCATACGCCAAGCATAGCTCCTAGGCATTGTGCCACCATGTAGGCCACGGCTCGAACCAGCGAAACCCTCCTTGCTAGGAATAGCCCGAACGTTACCGCAGGGTTAATGTGGCCTCCTGTGGTTCAAATAAAGGATGAACCTAATTTCTTCCAACTGACAATTTTATGTATTTTTAATTATAAATACTAATTAAGTAATTAAATATCATATACAGTACAGTATAAGTAGAAGATTTCTCTTAGGTACTTAAAAATGCAGCTTAATTTCCTTATTGGGATCGGACATTCAGGGGTATGTAATTCTCCTCATTTTATGAAGAGAGAGCAATTCTCTTTTGACCGTTGAAAATTGGCCATTTAAGAATATGAAATTTCCAAGAAAATGAGATTTTAAACTCAAATGGTACACAATATGTTTTCTCATATTCCAAAAATTTTGAGATTCTTTGACAGAACAAATACTAAAAGATTGCTTGGAATCTCAAGTTCCAGTGTTGAAATGGAATCCGGAATCCTGCATTGTTTTTTTTTTTTTTTGCCAAATGCAACCTAAATATTTCATTGTCCTTGTATACTAATTGATTTTTCCTTGCATTAGCTTACAATTGTGCCCCCCTAGTAAGTGCAATGAAACCAATATAATTAAGTGGCCTAATATTCTTGATGAGCTGGATTTGTTTTGAGTGTGTTTAGTAGCAAGACATTTATTTTTGAGAGATGTACCATGAATCCAAGTTGATGGGGGCATATATATGATTAATTTTTGCTTATCTATATCCAGTAGTTTTTTATTTTTGATTATTCCTTATGGATGGAAAATTGGGAATGTAATATTCTACTTATTGATTGCTATTCACTCCTACATTACCTAACTACGCGATTTTTTTTTTTTTTAAAAAAATTTTGGAATTTGATCAGAAAACAAAAACTATTTGAACACTCTTTTATTTTTTATTTTTTTTAAAAAAACAGGTTTTTGTATTCAACATTTCCTTTTTTTTTTTTTTAAAAAAGAAATAAAAAAAAACATGCAAATGAAGAAGGAAAAAAAAAAAAACACACAAAACACAAAACCAAAAATGTTTTCCAGTAGCTAGCGTACAAAGATCTTTCTCCCAAAAGAATGTCAAAAAGATAAAGCAAACTAACAATGTTACCAATGGAATATGGAGGTCTTCATAGGAGTGTACACAATACCAGAAATTCCAGCAGTGCAGTAGACAAGCACAAAAATCATGCCACCAAAAGCCCAAGCAACACCAAGATAGCCGACACCATCGCACAAGTTGTTATAAATTCCCTTGTAACCAACAACGGTGCCAACACCAATGTAGAGGAAGAGAAAGGTTGCAATAAACTCTGCAATTAAGGCTCTGTAGAATGACCACTGTTTCAGCTCTTCCACGTCTAAAAGAGGAGCTGGTGGTGGGTCTATGTAGTCCTTCCCTTGGCGCTGCTGCTCTATGTGTCCCTTTTCAGTATACATTTCCTTAGCTATACTTTGCTACTCTAACCTGATGTTTCTCCTTTCTTTTCCTTCCAGTAGTTGTAGTTGTTGGAGTGCAAGGGATTGATGGGTAATGGAGAATTTAATTGATTAGAAAAACCAAAGTTTGTGATGTGCTGAGTCTAAATTTGAAGTAAATGTGAAAATGAGATAATGTAGACGAGACCGTAGAGGGACCGTTATTTATTGTGATCCTGCGAGACCATGTGAATTTGTTGAGCAAATTAATTTACGTGTAATTAAGAGGAGGTGACACAGATATTTGGTCAATATCAATCTCCTCTTGTAATTTAGTCTCATGTACCAGATGCTACCGTAGAGTAAAATAATTATCAATTCCTCACCTATTATAAAAAATAGAAATAATAGAAAAATGGAATGAAAGGATGACAAGAAAAAAAAAATCACTATAAAATGAATACAAGTAATAAGAATTTTAAATTATTCTCTTAATCTTTCTAAAAACTTGTACATTAACTAATGAACAATCAAGCCCATTTAAAGGTTTCAAAATTGAGATGAGAATTGTAAGGGACTATGAATAATTAAAAATACATCAATTGCATCACTCTTTCAATTTCTCATATTGAATGATGAATTGAATCACATTAAGAATCATGAGTAGTGAGAATATGAAAAGTAGATGGACATTCATATGGACATTCATTATTTTATAACACTCCCCCTTGAATGTCCATTGTACATGGAACATGCCTTGTTAAAACTTTACTAGGAAAAAATCCTAGCGAAGAAAAAAGAGTAAAGTATTCCTTGCACACTCTAATCCTCATTTTGGTCTCCCCCTATTGAAGACATTATTTAAGATCTAGTCTTGTGAATCATCTTGTCAAAAGTTATGGTAGGTAATGCCTTAGTGAACAAATCTACTCGGATTGTCACTTGATTGAATTTATTGAACATTAATATCACCATTTCGTTGAAGATCATATGTGAAAAATAATTTTGGTGATATATGTTTTGTTCTGTCACCTTTGATATATCTTTCCTTTAATTGAGCTATGCAAGTAGTATTATCTTCATACAAGACTATTGGAACTTCCTTGCTAGTGGATATACCACATGTCTTTCAAATATGATGGGTCATTGATCTTAATCAAATACATTCTCGACTTGCCTCATGAATTGCTAGTATTTCCGCATGGTTTGAAGATGTAGCAGCTACAGCTTACTTCATAAAATGCCATGATATAGTTGTATTTACATTTGTAAATACATAATCGATTTGAGATCGAGCTTTATGTAGATCGGATAAATAACATGCATCCGCATAACCAATTAATCCGATCTTTGATTTGTTAGAATAATATAAGCCCATATCAATTGTTCCTCGAAGATAACGTAGTATATGTTTAATTCCATTCCAATGTCTCCGTATTAGAGTAGCACTATATCTTACAAATAAATTTACGAGAAAATGCTATATCGAGTCGAGTATTATTAGCAAGATATATTAATGCATCGGTTACACTAAGGTATGGTACTTCGGGACCAAGAAGTTCTTGGTTATCTTCGAGGTTGAAAGGGGTCCTTTCGAACATCAAGTGAATGAATTAACATTAGGCTAGTCAATGGATGAGCCTTATCCATATAGAATCTTTGTAGTACTTTTTCTATACATATTGATTGATGAATAAAAATTTCATCTTTTAAGTGTTCGAACTGTAGGTTCGGATAAAATTTTATTTTTCCAAGATCTTTCATATTAAATTCACTTTTTAAATAATTTATGGCATTTAAAATCTCTTCGGGAGTTTCAATTATATTTAAATCATCAACATATACATTAATTATCACAAAACCCTTTTCGATTTTTTTTATAAAGACACATAGATAAATTGAGTTATTTTTATAGTATTTTTTTAATAAATAATCACTAAGATGATTATACCATATGCGTCCAAATTGTTTCAATCCATATAGAGTTCTTTGTAATTTAATCGAATACATCTCTCGAGAATGTATTTTATATGCTTCGAGCATTTTAAGTCCTTCTAGGACTTTCATATAGATATCATTATTAAGTGATCCATATAAATAGGCTATGATTACATCTAGTAAATGCATATGAAGTTTTTCACATGCTACCAAGCTAATAAGATAACGAAATATAATTGCATCCATTACAAGAGAATATGTCTCTTTATATCAATGCTAGGTTTTTGTGAAAACCTTTATGCTACAAGTCTTGGTTTGTATCTCACAATTTCATCTTTTTTATTTCATTTTTGCATAAATACCCATTTGTATCTTACTAGCTTAACATCTTCAAGTATTTTAACTATGGGTCCAAAAACTACTTGTTTTGTGAGAGACTTTAATTCTTCCTGAATTGTATCTTTCCACTTAGGCCAATCATCTCTTTGTCGACATTCTTCAATAGATTTAGGCTCGTGGTCTTTATTCAAAATATTAATTGCCACATTATAAGTAAAGATGTTATCAATGAATGTTTCTTTTTCGGTCCCATTTTCTCCTTGTGTTAACATAATTTATCGAAATTTCTTAATTTTTCTCAAGCATTTAGGCTTCCTTTATAAGCTTGTTATCAAAAACATCTTGGACCGTTTTATATACCTCCTTTATATTTTCGTTTTTATTATTTTTCCATTTTTCTTCCAAAGATTTTTATCTTTAGAATCGATCAATCTTCCATGCTTCAACCGTGCTTTAGATTCATTTGTTATAACATTAATAGATTGTCCTACTAGGACATCAATTTTAATATGAGCATTCTCAGCAAGAACATGTTATTTAGTTACTCTCTTTGGACCGGAGAATGCATCTAGTAGTTGATTTGTAAGACTTTGTAAATGAATTATCCTCTAAAATTCAAGTTCACATTGTTTTGTACGGGGATCAAGATGATATAAAGATGAAGTATTCCATATTAGAAAATTATTATTCTGTTTATTTTCTCCCCCTTAATGTTGGAAAATTGTTTCATCAAAATGATAATTGGCAAAACGAGTCGTGAAAACATCCCCCGTTAATGGTTCAAAATATTTAATTATAAAAGGAGATTCATATCCAACATATATTACCAATCTCCTTTGAGGACCCATTTTATTTCGTTGTGGAGGAGTAATTGGGACTTCTATCGCATATCTAAATATTCTCAAATGAGAAATATTAGGCTCATGAATAGAAACCAATTGAAGGGGAGATAATTTCGATAACTTATGGGCTCGATACGAATAAGTGTTGTTGTATGTAAAATTGTATATCCCCAAACATAAACGGGGAGTTTTGTTTTCATAAGTAGTGGTCTAGCTATCAATTGGAGGCTTTTGATAAATGATTCTACTAGACCATTTTGAGTATGAACATGAGTAACATGCTATTCAACTCGATTCCAATAGAGATGCAATAATCATTAAAAGCTTGAGAAGTAAATTCATCGAGCATTGCCAAGACGAATTGTTTTAATTGTATAATATAGAAATTATGCTTGTAATCAAATTATTTTAGCAAGTAACCTTGAAAACATCGGGTTTCGAGTTGATAATAAGTATACATATGACCATCCTGTAGATGCATGTATTAAAACTATAAAATATCTAAATGTCCATATGGTAGATGAATTGATCCACATATATCACCTTATATACATTCTAAAAATGCTTGGAGAGTCAATCCTAATTTTATTTGGTGAAGGCTTAATAATAAGTTTTCCTTGAGAACATACGGAATGTGAAAACTCATTAGATTGAAGAATCTTCCGATTCTTCAATGCATGTCCATATGAATTTTTAATAATTTTTTACATCATAATGAATCCAAGATGACCTAACCTGGTCATGTCACAAAATAAAAGGATTAGTAAACTTTTGGTTTACTATGGCATTTGTTTCAATCATTTGAATATTTGTATAATAAATGCCAAAAGAGAAAACATGTAATTTTTCCAATATATATTTTCTACATGATATAATTTTTCTAATATATAAGTACTTAATATTCTCAACATTTGTTGTCTCAATATGATATCCACTTAAATGAATATTTTAAAACTCAACAAATTTCTATGGGACTTATGAGAGAATAATGCATAATCTATAATTAAATTTATCCATCCAGGGAGTAATATATTTGCTCTTCCGGAGTCATCAATTAAATTAACACTACTAGATATAGTGTTAACATTAGCCTTATCCATCATTAAATTGGAAAAATACATTTTATTTTTTAAGTATAGTATGTGTTGTTGTACTATCCACGAGGCATAGATTCTCCTTCATGACGTTTAAACCAATAGCAAACTTGGTAATATCAATATATTCTTCATAAACACAAAAACAAACAAATAAATAAAAATTATAACTACTATGATGAAATTATAAAAATAAAACATAAAACTTCTTTATTTATCAATAGAAAAGGTAACAAAATTTTAATGATTATCATTAACCTAATGATTTTTTCTTTCGGAATTTTCAAAGAAATCACCAACATCTAAATGTGTTAAGTTACCGAAACTTTTAAGAGGAACATCGTCACTAACATTATTTTGATATATAAAATTTACCTCTATATTACTTTCTTTCTTTTTTAACGAGGCTTGATAAAGCTCCATTAGGTGCTTTGGCATACGACAGGTACGTGATCAATATCCCTTCATATCACATCTACAACATTCATTTTCGGAGTGCTTGAATTGATCTACCTTTATTCTTTTCTTATTTGTTTTCATAATTTATCCACTTCGGGGGTGCGTTGTATTATTATTACCACCATGATTATAACAATAATTATTCCAACCATGACTATTGCCATGACCAAGTCTACGTCCATGGCTATGACCACAACTATGTCCATGCCCAAAATTATTATAAGATGTCACATTCACTTCGGAAAATGGAGTAGATCCAATTGGACGGGATTTATGATTTTTCATCGGTAGCTCATTATTTTATTCGATCATAAGTAGGCATGAAATCAATTTCGATTATTTCTTAAAA